CACACACACACCAGCCACGGTACTTCCCCACACACACACACACACCAGCCAGGGTACTTCCCCCCCCCACACACACACACACCAGCCAGGGTACTTCCCCCCACACACACACCAGCCAGAGTACTTCCCCCCCCACACACCAGCCAGGGTACTTCTCCCCACACACACACACACACCAGCCAGGGTACTTCCCCCCACACACACACATCAGCCAGGGTACTTCCCTCCACATACACCAGCCAGGGCACTTCCCCACACACACACCAGCCAGGGTACTTCCCCACACACACACCAGCCAGGGTACTTCCCCACACACACACCAGCCAGGGTACTTCCCCACACACACACCAGCCAGGGTACTTCCCCACACACACACAAGCCAGGGTACTTCCCCACACACACCAGCCAGGGTACCTCCACACACACACCAGCCAGGGTACTTCCCCACACACACCAGCCAGGGTACTTCTCCACACACACCAGCCAGGGTACTTCCCAACACACACCAGCCAAGGTACTTCCCCACACACACCAGCCAGGGTACTTCCCCACACACACCAGCCAGGGTACTTCCCCACACACACCAGCCAGGGTACTTCCCCACACACACACCAGGGTACTTCCCCACACACCAGCCAGGATACTTCCACACACACAAGCCAGGGTACTTCCCCACACACACAAGCCAGGGTACTTCCCCACACACGCAAACCAGGGCACTTCCCCACACACACAAACCAGGGTACTTCCCCATACACACAAGCCAGGGTACTTCCCCACACACCAGCCAGGGTACTTCCCCCCCACACACAAGCCAGGGTACCCCACACACACCAGCCAGGGTACTTCCCCACACACACCAGCCAGGGTACTTTCCCACACACACCAGCCAAGGTACTTCCCCACACACCAGCCAGGGTACTTTCCCACACACCAGCCAGAGCACTTCCCCACACACACCAGCCAGGGTACTTCCCCACACACACCAGCCAGGGTACTTTCCCACACCCACCAGCCAGGGTACTTCCCCACATACCAGCCAGGATACCTCCCCACACACCAGCCAGGGTACTTCCCCACACACACACCAGCCAGGGTACTTCCCCACATACACACCAGCCAGGGTACTTCCCCACACCCACACACCAGCCAGGGTACTTCCCCCCCCCCACACACACACACACACACACACCAGCCAGGGTACTTCCCTCCCCACACACACACACACACACACCAGCCAGAGTACTTCCCCCACACACACACCAGCCAGGGTACTTCCCCCCACACACACACACACACCAGCCAGGGCACTTCCCCCCCCCCACACACACACACCAGCCAGGGTACTTTCCCACACACACCAGCCAAGGTACTTCCCCAAACACCAGCCAGGGGTACTTTCTCACACACCAGTCAGGGCACTTCCCCACACACACCAGCAAGGGTATTTTCCCACACACACCAGCCAGGGTACTTCCCCACACCCACACCAGCCAGGGTACTTCCCCACACCCACACACCAGCCAGGGTACTTCCCCACACACACACACAAAACACACACCAGCCAGGGTACTTCCCCCCCACACACACACACCAACCAGGGTACTTCCCCCCCACACACACACACCAGCCAGGGTACTTCCCTCCACACACACCAGCCAGGGCACTTCCCCACACACACACACCAGCCAGGGTACTTCCCCACACACACACCAGCCAGGGTACTTCCCCACACACACCAGCCAGGGTACTTCCCCCCCACACACACACACACCAGCCAGGGTACTTCCCCCTACACACACACCAGTCAGGTTACTCCCCCCACACACACACCAGCCAGGGTACTTCCCCACACACACCAGCCAGGGTACTTCCCCACCACACCAGCCAGGGTACTTCCCACACACACCAGCCAGGGTACTTCCCAACACACACACCAGCCAGGGTACTTCCCCACACACACCAGCCAGGGTACTTCCCCACACACACCAGCCAGGGTACTTCCCCACACACACACACACACACCAGCCAGGGTACTTCCCCCTACACACACCAGTCAGGTTACTCCCCCACACACACACCAGCCAGGGTACTTCCCCACACACACCAGCCAGGGTACTTCCCCACACACACCAGCCAGGGTACTTCCCCACACACACCAGCCAGGGTACTTCCCCACACACACCAGCCAGGGTACTTCCCCCCACACACACACACACAGCCAGGGTACTTCCCCCTACACACACACCAGTCAGGTTACTCCCCCCTCACACACACCAGCCAGGGTACTTCCCCACACACACCAGCCAGGGTACTTCCCCACACACACCAGCCAGGGTACTTCCCCACACACACCAGCCAGGGTACTTCCCAACACACACCAGCCAGGGTACTTCCCAACACACACCAGCCAAGGTACTTCCCCACACACACCAGCCAGGGTACTTCCCCACACACACCAGCCAGGGTACTTTCCCACACCCACCAGCCAGGGTACTTCCCCACATACCAGCCAGGATACCTCCCCACACACCAGCCAGGGTACTTCCCCACACACACACCAGCCAGGGTACTTCCCCCCCCCACCAACACACACACCACACAACAGCCAGGGTACTTCCCTCCCACACACACACACACACACACCAGCCAGAGTACTTCCCCCACACACACACCAGCCAGGGTACTTCCCCCCCACACACACACACACACCAGCCAGGGCACTTCCCCCCCCCACACACACACACACCAGCCAGGGTACTTTCCCACACACACCAGCCAAGGTACTTCCCCAAACACCAGCCAGGGTACTTTCTCACACACCAGTCAGGGCACTTCCCCACACACACCAGCAAGGGTATTTTCCCACACACACCAGCCAGGGTACTTCCCCACACCCACACCAGCCAGGGTACTTCCCCACACCCACACACCAGCCAGGGTACTTCCCCACACACACACACACACACACACACCAGCCAGGGTACTTCCCCCCCACACACACACACACCAACCAGGGTACTTCCCCCCACACACACACACCAGCCAGGGTACTTCCCTCCACACACACCAGCCAGGGCACTTCCCACACACACACACCAGCCAGGGTACTTCCCCACACACACACCAGCCAGGGTACTTCCCCACACACACCAGCCAGGGTACTTCCCCCCACACACACACACACACCAGCCAGGTACTTCCCCCTACACACACACCAGTCAGGTTACTCCCCCCACACACACACCAGCCAGGGAACTTCCCCACACACACCAGCCAGGGTACTTCCCCACACACACCAGCCAGGGTACTTCCCCACACACACCAGCCAGGGTACTTCCCAACACACACACCAGCCAGGGTACTTCCCCACACACACCAGCCAGGGTACTTCCCCACACACACCAGCCAGGGTACTTCCCCCCACACACACACACACACACCAGCCAGGGTACTTCCCCACATAAACACCAGCCAGGGTACTTCCCCACATACAAACAAGTGAGGGTACTTCCCCACATACACACCAGCCAGGGTACTTCCCCACATACATACTAGCCGGGGTACTTCCCCACACACACACACACACACACTCACACCAGCAAGGGTACTTCCCCACACATCAGCCAGGGTACTTCCCCACACACACACACATACCAGCAAGGGTACTTCCCCAATCAGCCAGGGTACTTCCCCACATACCAGCCAGGATACTTCCCCACACACCAGCTAGGGTACTTCCCACACACCAGCCAGGGTACTTTCCCCACACACACAATTTGATTTGAGCAGGACTTGTGCATGAGTGAATAAAATTATCAAAGCTTATTGCTTGGGAAGCACTGAAAATTTGGTTGGGCAAATACGATTTTGTTAGTGGGATAGTTTGTGAAGGACATGCCTAGTATGGACCAACAGGCCTACTGCACTGTTCTTGCTTTCTTATGTGCAAACATCACCCTCACACAGCTGTTGTAGGCCGTGCTGGCAACATCTACAATGACAATATTGTGTCCCATTTTATGGATGCCATTTTAGAGATGCCAGAAACAGAGCTCTCTGGACAGATATTTTGTGTCCCATGGGTCCAGTGACTCCGAAGCTGGTCCTAGTGGCATTAAAAAATAAAGAAGGGAAGTAACCCCAGATAAGGACTTGTTACCTGAAGTCTTTATGGAAGGTTATTCCCCTTCCATCCTCTCTCCTTCTCCCATCTCATCAATCATCAATAAGTCTTCAGTAAAGGTGTCATTTTAGTAATGTTTTTACTCTGCACATCTCATTGTTTTCTTTGTAGGGAAATGTATAGTTCATGTAGAAAAATTATTTTATTTAATACTTTTGGGAGTCTGGAACGGAACAATCGGATTTCCATTTTTTATGAGGAAAATTAATTTAGATTAAGTCAGATTCGGTATAAGACAATCTCTCTGGAATGGATTAATTACATTACCCGGGGATCCACTGTATACAAAAAATTTAAATGAAACTTGACCCAATTTAATGTACACCACAACATCAAAGTCAACTCATCAGTTTGAATGCAGCAAGTTCACAAGCACAAAGTACTATGCCAGAAAAAGTATGAATCTCACAATAATTATCTTTAAATTCACCTGGTATGAGATTTATCCCAGTGGCTTAAAGCCTGGTTTCCTTGGTGACTGCCTGGTCAACCAGGCTGTTATAGTTAGCAGCCCACAGGACCGCACAGAACTTGCAAGAAGATAGTGGTCATGTTTTCCCCTTGAAAATTTCTATATTCTGGATATCTGTACATTTTACTCACGAATGTAGTTACGTAATTTTTCTCAAGAATAGATATCTAGACTTCCACCATGATAATTATCAAATTTTTCATCAATAATACAGTGGGTTTCTAGTTTTCTGCCAAAACCTATTATTTGGTCTTTCACCAAAAACAAGGCTGCTAAAAATATGCAGTATATATATATAACCGTTACCACAATAACATAAATTAATTTGTGAAGTTTACTTACCTTAAGTGGGTACTCATTGGGAGCTAACAGGCGTTCATTGTTACGCCACCGCTCAATAAGTGTGAAGCGGCCAGTCTTCCCAGTAGCATGAGCCAGCGCATAAACCACATCCTAGATATTATTTTAAAAATGAAGGGGGCATTACATGTGTGTATAAATGTAGGAGGTATCTTGTATATATGTATAGTACATACATAAAATTAATTAATCTCTCTCTCTCAAACACACACACACACACACACACACACACATGATGAGTCATATGGATGTTAGAAGTATTTCTTCAGCCTCAGAGTTGTCAGGAAGTGGAACAATCTGGAGAGTTAAGTAGTGGAGGAAGGATCCATACACAGCTTTAAGAGGAAGTACAATAAAGCTCTTGAAACAGGGAGAGAGTGGACCTAGTAGTGACTAGCAAAGAGGTGGGGCCAGGAGCTGTGATTTAACCCCTACAACCATATATAGTTGAGTACATATAGGTGATAAAAAAAAAAAAAAACATGCACACACACAAAATATACAAGGAATAAGTATCTGATATCCCACAAGCATGACTGAACATGCTCAGAAACTCCAGGCAAATAAAAAGCCCAAAAATATGGAATGCAGTGCCTGATCATACCAAAAGTTTCCTGTTTGTCAACAGCTTTAATAACACTTAAAACCACCTCTTAATATTTTATCCATTAAATTCCTGTAAATACTCATGCAGTACTGTCATGGAAGTAATTCAACCCCTCCATAAAAGGTACATCATTGCTTTGATACAAACTCGATGCAAATTTTCTGTAATGTCCTAAAATTATATACTATGACCAGGACTAGGTTCTATAATATGTAAGTTCCAGGATTAATTTGCCTGAAATGTTATGTATAATAAGTGACTTTCTTATGGACATTCAATTTTATCAAATTGCCTTTTTACTACAGTTATACCAAAACTATAACCAAACATACTGTAAACTTTGATGCAAGTACAGTCAGAAATAAAAAAATTATTTTCATTTATATTGTCAGTCTTAAGTCTGGTTACCAGCTCACTGAACACAGTTGTATAGTGATTTCAGTTTTTCACTTATTTCTGTGTTGTAATCAAGGACAGTTTCATCTCCTTTAAGCAAGAGCTGAATATTAAATGTGGTTTTTGCCTGAAGAGTTTACATGTGAAATGAAGTACAGTATTTTAGATTATTTTCAATTCCACTGATGGTTGTCTTTCTTGAACACTGTATGACGCATTCTTTGTCTTTGCTTGCACAGGGAGTTTTTCTATATTTTATCTTCTCTCTCTCTCTTTAGTGGTACAAGTCTACACCACATTATGAGTGCCACTGTGCTTAACTTTATAAGGAAAACATACTGTTCTACTCTTCACAGACCAAAATCTACTTACAAAACTTTCACTCCTATTACTCTGCATCCTACATATACAGAACAATAAATTCTAATACTGTATTAATATTGATCTGAAGCAGTCCCTTGGTAAGTTGCAAATGAACCCATAGACATAATGCTAGAGAAAAATCTCTATGACGTACCCTTTGTCAGGCTTAATTTTTGTAAAAATTCAATGTTCGTAAAAGGACCCAAAATCTGGAATTCCCTCCCAGAAATCTCAATTATAGAATAATATTTATAGTTCACATAATGGTATTTTTACTTAGAATGGCCCAAGGTTTTATACTTAATGTTCAAAGACTTACTTGACAGGTGGTGGTGTCTGTGACCCCACACACAATGCGCTGAATACCCTCTACCCACACTTTCAGCTCCATCCTGGCCACCATGAAGCCATCTTCCTGTTGTGATGCAAACTCAAATTGAATGCTGCTATTACTCAAAGAATAAGTACAATATGTATATAGGAACAGAAGATCGCTGCAGTAGACCTACTGGCTTGTAATATGCAGGACCTTTGTACATCCACTTATTCATACTTGTAAGCATACATGGGTAAAGGAACACTGAACCAAGACCACTGGCTCATGCTGTGCAGCTCCTACACACACCAAATAATGTTTTTAAACCTATCCAAAGTACAGTACTTGTTTTAATGATGCTGCTTGAAAGTTTGTTCAACTCACCTACACATCAAATAACAAGCCCTAATTATTTGTTCCAAGTCGGTTTACCAATTCTTAGATTAAAAAATTAAAAAAACTTTGCAAAAATATGTCTATGCAGAGTTAGAGTACTATGAAAAGTATTATTTCCTGTTATAAAGAACTACAGTACAGTATTTCTGTAGGACAATTTCATAAATGTTAAACTTGGCATGAAAAACTCAAATGCAATATTAAACACTTCTATGTTTGGTATCAAGTGCAATATTAAACACTTCTATGTTTGGTATCATTTTAAAACTAAATATGTCATGTGGGTGGGTGTGAGGCATGGTTTTGAACATTGCAAAGAGGAGGAAGCTAGAGGCAGTCGATATATCATGTTTGAGAGCAATGTATAATGTAAATATTTTGCACAGAATGCACTTAGAAATTGGAAGACAGTATGGGGTCAACAAGGGTAAAATTCAGGTGAGGAGGGGTTGTCAAGGTGGTTTGGGACTATAGAAAGGATGGAAGGGGGGCAGGATGATGAGAGTGTATAAATGTTTATGTGAAAGATAGCAGGGAAGAGGTTGCCCCAGGAATGGTTGAAGGGAGGAGGGGTAAAGGTGGCTCTGAGTGTCAGAGGATTGAGCATCCAGCAGATTTAGGCGAGTGTGTTTGATCTCAGAGTAGAGATCGTTAGTATTTAATCCTTTCACCATAATGAACACCCAAAATTAAGCGATGTCAGTCATGTGATAAAAAAAAATTATTTATTGTCTGAGGTAGAAGTATGTCTTTTTCTGAAGGTAATGACATGAAAAATGCAAAATTTGAAAGAAAACTTGTGGAATTATGCAGGCACAAAGTTGGTAGACAGGTCACAATTAGCACATTGGTGATTTCACCTACTTTCAGCCCTATTTTAACCCTTTCAGGGTCCGTCCCGTAGATCTACGGCTTTACGTTCAGGGTCCAAACCGTAGATCTACGTCATGAGCTCGGCTCACTCTGATAAACTGTGAGTGGTACATTTGGGCCTAGATATGAGAGAATACATCTATGTTGTATGTGTGCACCACATAAAACAGATCCTGCAGCACACTGTGTATAATGAGAAAAAAAACTGAAATCATGATTTTCCGATTAAAACAGCGAATTTGCAATGTTTTTTCGTATGTTTTTTATAGTTGTATTTGTGATTTCTTGGTCTCATTTGATAGAATGGAAGACATATTACAGAAATAGAGATGATTTTGATTGGTTTTAGCACTGGAAATGGCTTGAAACTGAGCTCAAAGTAGCAGAAATGTTAAATTTTTGCCGATATTCAAGAGAAAGCAAACGACCTCACACGTCTAATACACGCAAGCTGGTGGGTCTAATATGCATTCACAAATATGGTGATGATATTTATACAATTATTACAGTATTGCATAACAGTAAATCTTCTATTTTTTGGTGTGAATAAAAATTCATTATGTGAATAAAAAATCAAAATGGAATTCATTTGTAAAGCCTCAAAACGTAACTAATGAACAGAGGAAATGTTAGTTTAGTTCCAGGAATACCTACATTGTTTATTCTGGACCCTATTTTGAAATTGGAATATTTTGAACTTTGTGTTAAATTGGCCAAATTAACAATTTCTGATCACTTTAATTTGTAGTTGAAACAGTTGACTTGGCGATTTTTTGTGCTCAATCGATAGAATAGAAGTAATGCTAGTGAAATAGCTAAGAATTTGGTTGACTGGAATAAAGTAATTGGCCTAAAATGGGAGTCAAAGTCGGTAAAATCGCCGATTCGTAAATATCGCTGACATCAAAATTCGCGAGAGCATAATTTCGTCAATTTTCCATCAAATTTCGTACTTTTTGTTTTATTACCTTCACAAAAAGATTCTCTACCATTTCATAAGAAAAAATAACAAATTTTTTTTTTTTAAATTCTTGGACACTGGGGCACCACTTCAGATTTGGGCTTTGGACCCTGAAGGGGTTAAGCTCAATTTGACCCACTTCCCAGCTATTTTGCTAGTATGCCTTCCACTATCAACCGAGCATAAGAAACTGCCCATTCAACTATCTGAATTTTTCGACACTGTACAGAATTTGGTAATTTGGCCAATTCTGCACAAAATTTAATGAATTCCAATTTAAAACAAGGTCCAAAATGAACACTGTTTGCATTCTGTTCATTAATCATGTCCCCAGGCCTCTCCTATATAACACTTACCCTCCATTTTAACCCTTTAAGTGTCCAGACCCCCAATGAGCAAGTTTATTCAGGTATACAAATACAGTTATATAGATTATCATACATAGCAGCATACAGTTACAAAGATTATCATACATAGCAGCATATGAGTAGAGAACCTAGGATAACCCAAAAAAAAATCAGACAAAGTGACTTATTTGATTGGGGTCCTTTGAAAATTACCCACAGTGTCCAAGAAATTTCCCTTTTTTTTTTTTTCTTATGAAATGGCACAGAATCTTTTCTTGAAGGTAATAAAACAAAAAGCACAAAATTTGATGGAACATTTATGAAATTACACTTTTGCAAATTTTGGTGCACTAGCAATATTCATGCGTCAACGATTTTTGCCCACTTTGACCCCAATTTTAGGCCCATTACATTGTTCCAATTGACTAAATTCATAGCTATTTACTAGAATGTCTTCCATTTCATTAACTGAGCATAAAAAACCACCCAATTAACTATTTCAACTACCCAATTCAGTGATCAAATTGGTAATTTGGCCAGTTTCACACAAATTTCAAAATACAGTGGACCCCCGCATAGCGAACTTAATCCGTGCAAGAGGGCTGGTCGTTATGCGAAATGTTCGCTATGCGAATTAATTTTCCCCATAAGAAATAATGGAAATAAAATTAATCCGTGCAAGACACCCAAAAGTATGAAAAAAAAAATTTTTTACCACAAAAAAATGTTAATTTTAGTACACACAAACTGAAAAAGGCATGCACAATTACATGACACTTACTTTTATTGAAGATCTGGTGATGATTGATGGGATGGGAGGAGGGGAGAGAGAGTGTTAGTGTTTTAGAAGGGAATCCCCTTCCATTAACACTTGAGGAGGCAAGTCCTTTTCCGGGGTTACTTCCCTTCTTCTTTTAATGCCACTAGGACCAGCTTCAGAGTCACTGGACTTCTTTCTGTCCATAGAGCTCTGTACCTCCCGTTCCTTTACGATTTGTCTAAAATGGGCCATAACATTGTCATTGAAATAGTCACCAGCACGCCTTGCAACAGCTGTGTCAGGGTGATTTTCATCCATAAAGGTTTGCAGTTCAACCCACTGTGCACACATTTCCTTAATTTTTGAAGTAGGCACAATGGATTCCACAACTGGCATAGGCTTCTCAGGGTTAGCCCCAAACCCTTCAAAATCTTTCTTAATTTCCATACTAATTCTCACCCTTTTTACCACAGGGTTGGCACTAGAAGCTTTCTTGGGGCCCATGGTCACTTATTTTCAACAAACAGAACCGAAAACACTGTAATAATACGAAATATTCCGAGTGTATGCTTGAATGTTACCGCGGAGGCTAGCTGGTAAACAATGGGACAGGCGGCACATGTGAGGCTGGCTGAGGCCGCACATTGGACGCGTCTCGGACGAAGTTCGCTGAGCGGGTTTTTGTCTACTATGCGGGGCAAAATTTTAGCGATCAAAGCGTTCGCTATGCGGAATGTTCGCTATGCAAGGCGTTCGCTATGCGGGGGTCCACTGTACAGTGGAACCCCAAGTTTTGGCCACCCTGAGTATCGGCCACTTCGAGTTTAGACTGCTTTTTTCGGCTAAATTTTGTCCCGAATTTCACCCGGTGCCCCGTGTTTTGGCCGGTGTACCAAACCTGTCCGCCTGCCTGCGCAGGCGTTGTGAGCCAGTCAAGCTTTGTTTATCCTTGAGTGAACATTACCCTGTGTGCTCATCCCAACATTTCACAATAACTTCATTATATTTAGTGCTTGTTTATTGATTGTGACTGAAATAAGCCACCATGGGCCCTTTGGCAAAGAAAGTGATAAACATGATAGAATTGAAGAAAGAAATTTTAGCAAAGTACCAAAGTGGAGGAGGAAGAGAGATGGGGGAATGTGCCTTCTTCAGTGATTCAGTGATTCTATGATATGTACGATACTAAAGCAACACGAGTCCATAAAGACTATAATGCCAGCCAGCAATAAAGTGTAGCATTAACAAAGTAGCAAGTAAGTTAAGCGATTAACAATAAAAAATGACGACATGAAACTTAACTCCTCCCTTGTTGTTCGAGGTATATAGGGCGACTGAAAACACTGCCGTCTGCTGCTGCTTATGCTCTCAGTGGCCCTTATACACCCAAAAACACAACATACGTAACGACGTATTTATTCTAGAGTATATGTTACGTTTCTATATTATTAATATTGTTTATGTCACATTAGATGAAGTATGATAGATAAATAAGCCGTAGAGTTGATATTAGTGTCATACTGAAGGACTATCTTGTCCTGCCTCCCTCAAACGCCAACAAGTGTCTTCAATAAAGGTAAAACTGATTTAAATGTTCATTTATCCATTAAAATTAGTGCTTTATATTTATTTCTCATTGTTTTCTGTATGTAAAACTATAGTATTTATTCTTTAAAAAATTAATTTTTTGCGAATATTTTTGGGTGGAATGGATTAACTGGATTTACAGTAGTATTTCTTATGGGAAATATTGCTTCAACTTCAGGCCTAGCTCCTGGAACGG